GCCCCTCTGTTGCTGCGCACTCCTAACCCGGTGTAAGCTCTGCACGGGGTGATATGGCAAGGCTGGTGATAGGCCTCTCCTTGTCAGGTGACCGTGTTCAGGCCCTGCAATTGGCCACTCAGACCCGAGCACTGCACCACTGGGAGGAGGTCGCATGCATCCATTTCTGATGATGTGGGGGAAGGGCGAGTCGATAAAAGACGCTGTTTGTCCTGAATAGGCAGTGACAGGTTCTCTTTAGTACGGGTGGGTGAGGATAACGGCCATTTTTCAGGAGGAGCTTTCGCATTGGGTGTTTTCCCTCTCCGTGATAACCTTCAGCTGTGGTGGAACTACAAGTCCCATGAGGCATTGCAAGACTGACGGACACAGGCATGACTACCCAGAAGCAGGGGCATGATGGGAGTTGTAGTAGCGAGGTCGCCTGCTCCGCTCTAAATGCTCCCACAGCTGATATTTGTATTGTGCATTAAATGACCCCCCCCTCCCCCCACACGCACACACAGAGATCCGGCAGAATTCAGGAGACAGTCAGTCCAATCTGTGTGCCACCAGACCAGGGAGCTTCCCCTTCCAGAATGATAGGGAGGTAGATGGTTGGCACTCTTGGGCCCCCGGGCTCTAATCTCGCCAGGGGTACTATCTGCATGGAGTTTGTATCTTCTCCCTGAGTCTAGGTGGCTTCCTCAGGTTTCCTCCAGCAATCTGAGAGCCGCTGTGCCTGGCAGGTGAATCGTCTTCCTCGGTTCTTCCGATATTAGAGTGTGAGCTCCTCCGGGACACACGGAGACTAATGGATATGGGGGGGTGTGGCCGTGTCCCCGGGAATGTCTGCCCCGGAGAACCGGCACCCATCATTTCTAATGACGTTGTCACAGCTTAGGCAACATGGGCCGAGTACTCTCCACATCCCGCCACCCTCCGACACCTGACCCGCCCGCCACCGTGTGTCGTCACACTGCGTGTCATCGGTGTGACAATGGGGGCTAATTATTGGAAACCGCCCCCCCCCCCTTCATACTCTCTCTATACTGACGTGTCTCTGTCCTCCATGTTGGGTGGGATTGGTGTGTGTGTTGGGATTTGGGTACGTGGTTACACGCTCTCTATACTGACGTGTCCTTGTCCTCCATGTTGGGTGGGGATGTTGTGTGTTGGGATTTGGGTACGTGGTTACACGCTCTCTATACTGACGTGTCCTCCATGTTGGGTGGGATTGGTGTGTGTTGGGATTTGGGTACGTGGTTACACGCTCTCTATACTGACGTGTCTCTGTCCTCCATGTTGGGTGGGGTTGTTGTGTGTTGGGATTTGGGTACGTGGTTACACACTCCCTATACTGACGTGTCCTCCATGTTTGTTTCCTCCCGTGCAGTGAACATGGCGGACTTCTGCGGTCAGACCATTAAAGGGGACGGAATGATTGTGAATTCTCACGCGGACTCCAGAAAATACTACTTCGTGTCGGTGGGGACGGACTGCCGGCTGACCATGCGAGCCGCGGCCCTGAAGGACAAAGTCCAGTTCCAGTTCCGGTTCTTCCTGGTGTACAGCCTCCTGCGGATGTCCAATATGAAGGCCCAGACCTCCGGGATGAACGGCAGCGCCCACGGCCCGCCCGCTCAGGAGACCTCCAGTCCCCCCGGCTCTGTCACTGACCCCTGTAACGCCGGCTCCTATGTCCAGTTCTACGATGGTAGGGACCACCATTCGGAACCTCTGGGCACCCCGCTGTGCGGGAAGACCATCCCCCGGCCGGTCCTGTCTACAGGCAACTACCTGACCCTACGCCTGGTGACCCGCGGCCAGCAGCCCAGGGTGGACTTTGTTGGAGATTTCACCTCCTTCCGGATAGGTAAGACCCC